CTTCGTTCTGCCGCGGGGAGGGAGCGCGGCCCCGGCCGCCGGGGCGCGGCCGCCCGCAAAACCCGGCCTGGAGCTCCGGAGCGGCCAGGGGTGAGGGCTCACCTTCGGCCGCCCCGGGCGGGTCAGGAGGAGGCGTAGGTCCAGCCGAGAGCGCTCCTCCGTGGGGTCGAGGGCAGCTCGTAGGCGTCCCATGGCCGGGCCCAACTTCCGAAAGTCACGGCTGGGTCAGAGCTGAGGCCCCTCCAGCCGAGCCCGTCACGGGGCTCCCGCACCCTTCCCGGCAGGCCGTGTCTGCTCGCTCCACCTGTGTTCAGCATCTCTAAAATAAAAAATCTGTGTCGGTTTGGTACGAATTGCCAAGGAGGTGTAAAACAGGAACAGAGAAATCAATTTCTGTGCTGCATAAAGGATGATAGAATCACATAATAGGTAAGGTTGGAAGGGACCACAGTGGGTCATCTGATCCAGCCTCCCTACCTAAGCTGGGTCATCCTACAGCACAGGATTGTGTCCGGATGACTCTTGAATTTCATCTCCAGTGAAGGAGACTCCACAGCCTTGCTGGGCAGTCTGTTCCAGTGCTCCGTCACCCACACAGTAATGCAGTTTCCTCACATTCATGTGGAACTTCTATGCAGCAATTTCTGCCCACTGCTCCTTGTGACCCAATGGTTTGCACCAACAACAAGAGCCTGGCTCCAGTTTCTTGGACACTTGCCCCCCACCACCTTTAGATATTTTTACACATTAATGAGGCCCCCTCACAGTTTTCTCTTCTCCAGATGAACAGATCGGCCTGGGCACAGGCTGTGCTGCCTCAGGAGTGCTGGGTACCAAGAGCCATGGTACTCCATGGCCCCCCACTTTAGATAACACACAGACCTTAACTCGGGAGTGGGGGCTGAGGCAGTGCCTGCTTCTGGCAGCCTTGAGCTCCTTTCCTAAAGTGCACACAAAATGTTCCCTTAAATGCATGAAACTCGCCTGAGCCTGCTCAGGCTGGGATCCTGCACGAACCAGCCTGTCAGTTCGGCAGAGGTATGTTCTGCCGACATCATTTCACGTGAGCCACCCAAAAGCTGTCCACTGATAGTCACCACTATCACTTGCCATTGCCTATTTGGGGATTTCAGTGAAATGGGAGATACTGTTTTGTGTGTGAATACTACCCCTCCCTGAGCTATCTTCTCCCATGTGCAATATGTTTCTTCCCTTACAGATTAAATTTCATCCACTAATTGACAAGTACACATCTTACTTGGAGTTCTGCCCATTTTTGACACTGAGCATGTGGCTCTTTCTGAACAAGGTGTAGCTGTGATTTACACCAGTCTGCAATTTTTGCTTGTCTCCTAAATGTAGTTTTCATAAAAGTGTTGTTGTCAGCTCTCATGATTGTTTGGTGAACTGATGTTCTGTGGTAGAAAATCTGTAAAGTTCCAGTTATGCAAGTAAGAATTTTGGCTTTCATCTAAAAGGAAAATGTCTGGTTCTGGTCCTCTTATTTGGAGCAGAAACTTACATTATGTGTTGTAGCAGATCTGAACCAAAAGGAAAGGAAACATAAATGTGTTATTATGACTGTCACTGGTATTGTTTTATTTTACCTCTCTTGACACTTGTGTCCCTGATTCTTTATAGGCTGGCAATACTTAATATAAGACACAGATAAAAAGACTTGTGCAGCTTACACAACCACCTGTTTCTCTGCTTGGAACTCTCCACTATATTTTAAGGTGAGACAAACAAGCATTATTACCTACTGCTTACGCTATTTACACTTACAGAGTCGTGGTGGTTCTCTCTGCAAAACCAAGGTGTGTATTTATTCTTGTGTTGCTTTAAGGGACTGTAGTTTGGGCAGCTAAGTATATGTTTTTGTCTGGATTATTTCTGTAAAAATAAGACATTTATTATTTTTACAGGCTTGCATCTCAGTAGAAGGCTGTGTTGTACTATGAGAGAGATGCCATTTTCTCTAGATGTTTATAGCATGCCATAGCTTTTCACAGTTTGCCATGGTAGAGATCTTCAGGAGTTTTTCAGTCTCTTTTTTTTCTCAGACATATTCATATAGAATCTACTAAGAGGAAGAGATGATTGTTTATAGAAAGTTTACTTTGTCTTATCTTATTTTCCATCAAAAACCCTCTTAACTGTTTCCATACCAATTAAGCAAATTTTCCTTTACTAAGTTTAACTGTGAGAACATTCATCTGTCTCTTATCAGTTTTGACTCCTGACCTTGTCATGGTCAGGCTAACACTTCCCACCTACACACACACTCATACAAGTACTCTTCGCCTATCAGAAGATATTTGCCACATGGTTTGAGAGGAGAGGTCCTCCTTTCTCAAGGGCTGCATTGCCAGCATCATAGTTTGGGGAACCTGTCCATTGTAACTCTCTGTAGTTATATTCCTGTTTCCCACACCCTTATGTCCCCTTGTTTGGCTGGTTGCAAAATCCACCTCATCAAGGGCTCCAGGTTCTGTGGAAGAACCAGAGGAAGTAGGTTTGCTCCATTGCAACCATGGCAACACTTTTCAAAGATGCAGCCTACAGTCCTTGTGAGTCTTCCAGTTTTCCATGGCAGCCTCGTTTCTCAGAGGCTACATCTACTCCAGGAAAAAGTATGTTGCAAAACATGTAAGTCGATATTCAGTAAAATACCTCCTTAGCATGTAGAAAACCATCTGAGCTCTAAACAAGAGTGGAGGACTTCATAAAGTGCTGTGAACGTAATATAAGAATTGAACAAAAGGGAGAGAGGTAATTTTAACTTCTCTTTCAGATAGGCCCTGTTCCATTAAATCAGCCAAATTTTTATAAATCCAAAATCTCAGTTGTGTTCTCACTTGTTAAAGCAGAACCAAAAAAAAGCACTCTGGTCTTCAGGTTGTCCATTTCCCGAAGATTCCTATGAGGCCTCACACTTGGATATACCTGTGGACCTAGAGAGTTTAAAGACAAACATTTTGGTTTGCTGTCCTGCTGTACCAAGCCAAATTCTCAAATGTCATGAATTTTTGTAATGTTCAGGAGTGTCCTGAAAGTTGTCTTTGTATGTTTTGATAGGGCTTATGTTATGCATTCACACGTGAAGTATCAAGAGTTTGAAACAATGCACACGGAAGAGGGGGAGTAAAAACTTTGTGAGCCAAAACTTATTTTGTGGGAGACAGTGAGATAGAAGGAAATTTTTTTTACGGAACTTTATAGCCTGTGGTACTAAAATCAATTGAAGAGCTTCCACTGCCTGCAGTGGCAGTGGATGTGGGCACTGATATTTATAGTCAGCCTGTACACTGAAATACACTAGGTTCAACAGCAGTGTGTTTTTTACAATGCCTGCGTAGATACACATTTCCCAAATATTAGGTCTCCACCCATGTTTCTATTCTGAGTTTCGAGTTGAGCACTAGACACCCTCTCTTTCCTCTAATATCTATCACGCCTGGCTTCTGTAGCAGCACCATGCCACAGGTTTGTTCCACAGGTATTACTGAAGTTTATCTGTCTATAACCAAATTGTTTCCACTGCAGTATTTCTTAACGGAAAAGCTTCTATCACTATTGGTAAAAAGTTATTTGACACAGCCTAAATTTTGAGCTAAACATAACAGGAACCCATTAAACATACTTCATATCACTTGCTTGCAGCCCTTCAACAGGATAGATTTCTTTTTTTCTCACTCACAACTTGCAGATCACCAGTTTGTTCAAGTGCAGGACATGTCTTTCCAACTTGAGAAACCAATGCCACTGCTGCCAGAGTAACTGGGAGGACAGTTGTTCCATGTCCTTATTCTGAGTGTATGTGGGGCATCCCACTGTACTGAGGGCAGTTCTGTTCTTTTAAATTATAAAGGAGCTAAATTCTCTTCCAGTGTCCAGAGTGAACTCATTCGTCAATTGGATGCATTTCATTATCCTCGTCAGCTCATTTGCTTTTCCTGGTGGAGAAAAAGGCTGAATCTTGTTTTACTTTATGGAAGTCAGGATTCTTTCTAATTAATGAAGTTTCTGTTTAGCCAGCACTATGAAAGGTGTTCTTTCCACTGTACATGTGTGTACTGAAGAACACATCTCCTCCTCTGGTAATTTTTTTCAGTAGTACCTTTTTGTCTGAGATGAAAGGGATCCACTCCTAAGTCCTGGACTGAGAGCTGTGCTCCTAAAGGAGAAATTACTCTTTTAAGAGATTCCCAAGAGCTGTAGCCAACCACAGCATAGTGTAGATGTTACACTTTTTGTACATTGCATCTTTGCCAATATTTGAATACAAGCCATAATTCAGTGGGAGCATAAATAACTTCCAAAGAGATGGATGCTGTGGTATCAGGCCAAATGGTAAGCCTTGTGAGTGCCTACATTCTCACTTTATCGATCACACAGCATAATATGATGCTCCTTATTTAAATCCTTCATGCAGATGTCGTATCGGGTTAATTGACAAGCAACTGGATTTGATAATAGGTGTAATGCTGTAGCAGCCATTGATTTTTGGATAGTGTGGATGTGCAGGTAGTGATCATGGGGTTATGATTCTCAGAGGTGGGACATGAATAAGTCTGTGGGTCACAATGTAAATTTAAGCTGCTGAGGGGTGAGCATCAACTTACATGCCAGTTTAGATTGATATAATAATTCTTTATAGGGACAGAGCATGATTGGCTGTAAGAGTTGTCCTTGTACCTGAATTGTTTCAGAGCAGCAGAGCTTTATGCTGAGCTTAAACAACATGCTGTTAAGAATCAGTACCGATGTAAACACAGAGAATGATGTCTTTATTTTGGCCGTTATGTCATTGAGTATTTCACAGTTGTTGAAATCATTTCATTTTCAACCAGGCTGCTTCATCAGTCTATCAGCAAAGACTAAGCAAAGTGCAGCACTGAAAATGAAATTAAACTCCTAGCTCTCCAGATACATAAGTGATAGCACTTTTGTTGAGCTGGAGTTCTGTAAGAATGCTTACTAATTCCAGCTAATATAATACAAAGTAATTTGCTGCTTCACTTTTTTTGTCTTAAGTTCATCATAGTTATATTGTTAAGTTTTTACATGAACTTATGCTACTCTAGGTCATAGAGAGCAAAGAGGTCAATAAGAACGAGCAAGGAAAGGGTAAATAAGGAGAAGAGGAAAACAGGACACAGAGAAGGTCTATAAGGAGATGAGAATTAGGAAGTAAAAATAGGCAACATCAGAAGAACAAAAGATGAAGGAAGAAAAACAGTGTATCACAGGAGCTGCAAAAAAAAAAAAGAGAGATGTTAAAGTGTAAAAGAAAATAGAGGAAATTAATCTAGGAGTTGGAAAAAAAGTAAGAAACATCTTTAATTTCTTGCAGAAATATTTAAACTCATTGGTAGTAATCCTGCTTGCGGTAGTTCACTGTGTTTGGCTCAAACCTTAGAAACACACTTCTATAGGAGTTTCCCAATTTCTTTTTGGCACCTGGCTTGCTTATGTATAGGACTAGGCCTCCAGAGGTCTGAGGAGAATGGGTTTCTAATAAAGCTCCTCCATACCAGAGTTCAAAAGCTCTCCCACAATGTAATACACAATGAAAACTGACACCACCAAATGGCTTTAGTTTCCTTCTTTCTTCCTCTGGATGTTACGCACTTTTTTTGGCATCTGCATATCTGACTTTAGTCTTTCTGCTGAATATTGAGCATGTGGTATGGAAAAGTAAGCTATAACCAAATATATATGTTTATATATCAAAAGCTACAGTAATACAGGTTTTTGTAAGGCTTTTTTCCTAATTCTGTGAGAATAAGCAAATGTGAGGCACTTCCTCTATTATGTACATTTATATGGGCTGTGTGGTCAGAGGTGCTTAGCAGTGAATTTGGCTCAGGGCAAGGGAACAACAGCAGTAATTTAAGGGGAGATTTACTCCTGTTAACACTTTTCAGAATTGGCAATAAAATCAGCTCAGTACTCTTAAGATAGGGAGGGCTGGATTTTAAACAAAATATGGAAAGTATATCATCAACCTGAAAAGTGATCCAGTGAAAAACTGTTTATTATTAATACCTAAAAAAATCCATATGTATTTCCAACAAATGAATGATAATGAGAGGGCTGCTCCCTTTTCCTAGAAATGATTACATTTTCTTTGCCCTTCTGGTTTGGCTGCTTTTAGGCTATTGCTTATGTAAAACAGAACGCCTCCTAAGCCATCGTTTACTAAACAATCTCTGGCTTCTGATCTCACGCTACACAAGAAGGTAAATTGTATTCTGTGTGAGAAGCTTTAAACGTGAGCGTAATGGAAAGGGGATATTCAGTGAAACAAAGACACACCTCCAGAAACAACAAAGACAGTAAGTTTGAGCTACTTAAATTTGAATTTTCATAGTTGAAAAGTAGAACTCAAACATGGAAAAAAGACATCAACTTTCATTAGCCCCACAGGTATTTATTTTACCAATTTGTATTTTGCTTTTCTCTTCTCTTAGCAAACCTGTGTGGCAGTTTGTTGAACAGAGAAGGACAACTCTGCTCTGAAAAGATGGAATGCTTTTCTGAGAGATCAGCTTCCAAAGGTGACAATCTTGGGTCACAGCAGGGATGCTGACTGCTCAGTCCAGAATGCTTTTAAACAAGAGGGGATTCTCATAGCTATGAGCCATCAGTGATGAAGTAATGACCACATCCAGTTGTGCTATCAGTAAGATAGGTTGCTCAGCTGCAGGCCATACCTCTGACATGCAAGCACACAGGCTGCATGGCATAGGCCTTAAGGGATATCCAGAATTTCAGGCACACTGGTAAATTTGTGCTTCATGGCAAGTGTGAGAATCTCGTCTTCAGTCTGCAGACCAACTCCATGCAAAAAGCATCTGTTTATTAGATGGTGGTGTCCATCCACTGATGTGTCATAAAGTAGGCAAATGTCAAAGTGTTTGTGTACTGTGTGTGGACAGAGAGTCTTGTGATAGCCATCAGCTGAGAGGGAGAAACCAGCTCAGTCCCAGGTTCCACAAAGGTGTAAGAGCTATTCTTGCTTCTATAGGCACAGGTAATTAATCTTGTCTGTCATGTTAGAGCTGTTGAGAATAGCTACAGGCAAAGTGTTGCAATACAGGAATCACTCCAAGGAGTTGTTAATGCAGTGGAGTTTGACCCACACTGAGTCAGTAGAGTAAGAAGTGCAAGCCGAATGAGAGAAAATCTGTGGACAGTAGCATATGGACATAGTGTTGAACAGTTGAACACTATTACTTGAATTATGGTTAATTATTCTCTGTGATCTGCATGTCCCTAAGAATAAGTGGAGGTAGAGGTAAAATGAAGGCATAAATAGGGCATTTCACTTTATATCCTGTGCTTTGGAGGAGCTGGCAAAGATCCCAGCTCATTCCAGCCTAATACATACAGGGTCATCACCAAAACCATGTACCAAGATGACTCTGAAGCTGCCCACCTGGCATTTGCCTGGCAGCCGTATAGGTTGTCGTACTGTGTGTCAAGGCAGAGAAATACCTCTTTCAAGAAGGAATGTCTTTTCTTATATTAGTCATTGGGATGTGCCAGAAACATAGCTTACTCAGAAGAACTGGGCAGGAGCAAAGGGAAAATCAGTAACTGTTCTCAGAAATTATGACGTAATTGCCTTTTCTCCCTGGAATCAGGCACAGAAGTCCCTGGCAGAGAGCAATACCTGAGAAAGCTTTACAGTGAAAAAGCATTCATATTCCTGAAAACAAAACAGCTAAAAAAAAAGGATCAGCAAAAGATGCTTCTTCTAAGGAACTCTTTGTGCAAATTTGTTTCACAATTAGACAGTCAGAAGGCATCTAACATGCTTACCCAGAACCTGTCTAAGAGAAGGACTGAGGGCAGCCTATTCTGTTTGTGGCAGAGGAGGGAATTTGAGCTCTCTCATGGGTAATTTACAAACATCCAGAAGAGATCCCTACTTGTACTCTGGGGGCTAAAGGCCCGGTTAGTTACGGAATAAACGCCATCAGTATTTCGCATGCATACATACTGTGCTGTGTCACACACAGTGTGTTCTTCTTACAGAGCTATGCCTGGCACCTGCATTGTTTTCCTCATTCATCATACACCGGGCGTGCATTAGTGACAGCACCGTAGGAAATTGTATTCTTCATACTGAAATGCATATATCTACCTGTCAGAAACCCACATGTTGTCCCAATAAGGGCCAAGGCTTAACTGCTTCTTAGTAGTCTGGTGCAGAAGCGCACATTACACAACTACCCTCTGTGTTCAAACGAGCCAGGACTTCGGATAGAGGCTGTTGCAAACCAGGATGGCAGCTGTCTGTGGATATAATCGCCACTGAAGACATACTGCCAGGGCTTCTGTGTCCTGGTTGCACAGCTAGGGGCAGAGCACTCAAATATTTCTAAAGCTAGATATGCAAATGCCTCTGGAATGAAGCCTTTTACAGTTCTGCTCTCATTAACCTGATTTGCATATGTAAATGACCTCTTGCCACATGATAATGAGGTCTGCTCATGCAGAGATGTTCAGCATATAAGCAGAGGGTTTTCAGTGACAATCGGAGCATTTTGGCTAAAGCAATTGGTACAGAGACGGGACCAAGAAAGAGGTATATGCAGAATCCAGGGATAGATAACAGGGCAATGAAGAAGAAGGAAGCTAAAAAAAAAATCAAGTATTGTAAATGCCTCTTCCAAATGCCAAGGGCATCTCCAGTTCTAATGCCTTACTGGAGCAATTTCATAGAGGAGCCTGTGACATGAGAGCAGCTGGAGAACACTGACAATTGGGAAGTGACCTGTGGCATGGAGCTACTCGGAAAATAGTGCATGTTTGGCTCTCCTAGATGAGCGAGTGCATGGTCTAGCATTCAATGGCTAGTTTAAAGCAGCCTCTTCCAGTTACTCCCGTGAGAACCATCACAGAGAACAGAGCTGGACATGTGGTGGTGGGTCAATCCTTCTTCAAGGGCAGCCTCCACTTTAACCATTTCTCTGTGCATACCTCTTTGCCACTGTCACACTCATCCTGAGGTGACATTTCTCACAACAATATGCTGCTTAGCTTCTCATCAGGAATATTTTATACCTATGCCTTGTTCAGTGTGTGTGGAGGCATGACAAAATCCCTCCTAGGTTACCCTCCTTGGATACCGTGACACTTTTAGAGAAGAAATGACTGTTCATCTCCTGAGATATCTGTCTTCCTACTTGCTGTATTTAACTCTTGGTTCCTGGTTCTGCCATAGAACACTCAGCTGCTGAGAATTTGCTGACTCAGAGCTCTGCAAAACCTGACTAATCAAGCACTATCCTTATCCAGCTCAGAAAAAAAGGAGTGATCAGTTGCACTCAAGACTCACACAAGGTAGGAAGGAATACATTCATCCTTTCAAAGGATGAAATGGCGCTCTGGAGGCCAGGTCTTTTCAAGGCCAACTGGGAGCCAGTGTGGCTGGCAGACAATATCTGCTATTGCCAGTGACAAAAAAAAAATAAACTTTCCTTTGTCCAGTCAATTGACTGTCACTTTGTATTGGTACTTGGGAAGTCGGGTGTGGTTGGTCTCTTTCTGTCACTGGAAAAATAATAGTAGCCAGGACCAAATATCCATAACCAGCTCTATTCATAGCTGGTAAGCAACCAAACTGAGGTTTAATGAAATAGGGTAGCAGCACATGTCACAGTCAATTAAAAAGAAGTTGTGTACCTATCTTCTTAACAAGCCAGACTTAGCCAAACTAAGTTAAAGTAACAGTGAAGGCAAAGCAACTTGGATGTTGGATTCATATAGGAAGTTGAATTCAAGTTTATTGAGGAAATTAGTTAATCTTATTACTACTTTTGCTTTGCTCCTACTCACACCAAAGGAGAGATCATGCATATGGGAGAAAGAGAAACTAGACACACTTGTATTTCATTACCTGTCCACTGCTGACAGAAATATATGCAGTATGACTACAAGTTATGGTTAACTTCAAAGCACTAAAAACTGATCGTCAAACATGCTCCATCCTTTTTGCACATCAGTAGGCAGTTCCTGGCGCAGCCACTGGCCCAAACCTAATTCATGTGTGCTCCACCCTTTACAATGTGGTCATTACATGGAGAAACTGCAGTGTACTCCCTCCCCATCATGTCCACCATGAAGAGATTAAATCAAGAGATTCAGTCTTACCGTAGTCACACAGTCAGTATTGTATTTCACAGCCAACAATATCATCCAGACTCATGACCTTCCCTTTCTTAAAAGCCTTCAGGTCTGGGCCCCAGTTTACTAAGGTTATATTCCAAAGCCTTCTCAACACTGAATGCTCAGCTTTTAACAAAAACAACAGTATTGCATATCTGTGCTAATATTAATTTGTTTGGTGGTTGTAAGAAAAGAGTAATGTGCAGAACCACCTACAAATGAGTAGTGTCTAAAGAGCTTAGTCTGGGCCTGGTGGCTTATTCATATAAATAAATCAGAAGGATCTGGCAGAGCATGCAGGGTCTTTTGAGTGTTTCTGTATAGCCTGTCTGAGCAGCAAGCCCTTAACCACACACTCAAACAGCCTCTGGGAGCACTCAGTCTATTTGGGCAACTAACAACCTGTCCTAAAACTGAACCTTCAAGCATTTGCCATTTAGAAAAGGCTGTCAGCCCACTAAGCAAAAAGCTCATGGAATTCTCTAACTTATTTGGTGCCATCTTTAAAACATTTTTGTTTAACTTGATTTTTATCTTTTTTAGCAGGCAGGCATTTTTTCCTTGTTTTTAGAGGCTCTAATCAGACAAGAATTTTATGAGGCTATTCCAGGAGAAGATAATTAATTCCAGACCTTTCTCTTCCCCCTCTTTTGTTCAACTTAGGTATACCATCTACATACCTGTCTATAACAACAGAGGCAAAAATCCTATGAGACTTCCAAGAAGCTTGGTTCATCTTTCATTAGATCACAGCAGAACTGAACCATATCCTCTCATTGCTAGACAGTTTTTGAACTAGGCTTTTCCCAGTCTCACTGGGGTATGTATGTGAGCTGGAAAGCTTCACAATGCATTAAGATTTCATGAGGGCCTAATTCTGTTCTCTGTTGCACTGCCCTGAATCTTCAGTGCGTAGCACTTCTTCTTCTGCGCCACATAACTGGGAATACAGTAAGGCTCTGAGTAGCCAGCCTCCACTGAATGGACCATCTGAAAACCAGTGCTCTAGCCATGCTATTTGTGATTTTTATCTTGAACAAACATAAGTTTAGTGTCATTACTTCATTCCTGTTGGATAAGTGTCTGAGGAACATTAAAGATGTTTTGGCTGACAGAGAAAACTTTTCTTTCAAATGTGTTCTTTTCTTTGTTTTAGAGAGAAAAAACCAACCAAAAAACCCAAAACAAAAACAAACAAAAAACCAGAACCGAAAAAGCAACAAAAAATTCAAACAAACAAACAAACATGACAAAGGCATTTTGAGAGATCTTATTTTGTATTAAATGGTCAATGGCCTTTCATTATTTTGTCATGGATTGGTTGCATCTGGTGCTTCTGTATGAAGTCATACAAGAAGGCACAGAATTCTTCCCTTTTTGGACTGCCATAGTTGCCATAATTGCAGACTCTGTGCGTTTGTGAAGAAGCAGCAGCTCAGAACAGAACTTGGACACCTTGTAGACCTGGGACCAACAGAGACTTTGACTCAACATACCATTATTAGAAGTGTAGACAAGACAAATTAATTGTGTCATAGGAACAGTTCCCAGCTCCCACAAAGAGCTATGGGCACCTTGGTTTCTCCTGTTCCTGTCTGTAGCATACAATTTAGTCACATTAAAAAAAAAGTGCTGTGGTTTTAAGTAGTAGCTGATGAGAAACTGAGTAGATGGAGGAATTCTTAATTAAGTAATTAGACAAATAAGAGGGGAAAGGATAATATGATACAAAGTGATGAATAGAATAGAATAGAAAAAGTAGGTCAGGAATTTCTGTTCTCCCTATATCGTGATGCAAGAAAAAATGACATGCAAAGAAGTTCAAAGGTGAGAAATTCAAAGTCAAGGAGGGAATGGTGTCATGTAACCAGTAATTATCTAGGGGAAGCCTTTTGCTTCTGGAAGTCCCTGATGCCAAGAATTTATCAGGTTTAGCACTGAGACTAAACTATCCAGAAATGCCATAGAGATAATAACAGCTTTACAAAGTAAATTAAACCTCCCTTCTTGTTTTAATCCAGTCCTAAACAGAAAGTCCTTCAGCTATGACACCTGCCTTTGAGCTATCTGGTAATGGCCACCATTTAAGATATGTTGGTGGAACAGTGAGATCTGAGTCGCCTGGTGATTCTTGTAGTCTTATGTCCATATAAAAGTCAACTTTATAATTGGTGCAGAGTGCAGGAGAAAATCCCATCCCAGGGACATTTACAGCCTTGTCTTGCCTCTAAGAGCTAAAGCCCACTAAAAATGAATGTAGAAATGAATGTAGTTTCTCTACAGCCCTAGGAGATACCTAGCTTGAGGAGGATTTGTTCCCTGCAACAAGTAACAGCATTCTCAATGAGATTTTCAGAGGCATCCATGTTACTTGTCTTGGAAAATGGGCCATCCTTCTGCTGATCTCTAAGTCCCTGGGATGCTTCTCATGCCACCAGGAGCTCAAAGATCTGAGGCCTCATTATTGCCACTTTCCATCAGAACAGATTTGCTGCAAATGCACACTTTTTCTGCACCTTACATATTATTCCAGACATTCAAAATCAACTCTCTCAAGCTGACCCAACTCTGTTATGGTGCCTTTAAAACTGGTGTAAATCATGAATTTGTTGAGGACAAGCTGCTTTATATTTTCAATAAACTTTTGATTAATTTTTTTAAGTGTACTTTAGAGTTTTACACACTTTCATCAAAACCAAATGATTTGATTATTTTCTGTGTTCATCTACACCACTGCTTTGCCTGCATGTTTACAGCAGCTATTAAAACAGATGAAAATCATCATGTGCTTCAGATGGATCAGGGTAATCACATCCACCAACGCTGTGCATTAATTTTTAGCCTATTCCAGCAAGAGATGCAAGAAGGAAATCATCAAGAAAGAAAACTATTGGATACAGTTGTATTACCTGGAGCAAAGTGAGTCTCTTGGAGCCTGGTGGCATTCTGTGTGACCGAGGTGATGACTTCTTGTCATATTTGAATGAAATCTACCTGATGAAAATGAAGCATCAATATCAGTTCAACAGGCACTTAAATCCAGAAAATATTTCTACGTTTCTAAATAAATATATTTTCTTTTGTCCTGGAGACAATATTCCAGACTCTGGCTCTGGGATTGGACATGGTATGCTGAAACACAGTAATACAGTAAATGCATTCTGTATTAATTTAAAAACATATAGATCTAGCTTAGTAAAAGATAAAATCAGTTTGAAGGAACACAGGAAAAACCACATCTCAGCAAAATGTTTAAGTGTAAAAGGTTTATGCCAGACAGGGAAACAAAACAAGAACTGAAGGACTGCAGCAGTTTAAAGAGACACTGTTGCAAGAAAAGCAAGTTTTGGAGGTGTTCAACCTGATATAGGCATCCACAGGCTTGTCCAAATATGTTCATTTAGCCTGAAAGGTGTCGGGCCCTGGTCTTACAATGAAACAAATGTGTGCACTGATTGATTTCTTCAGACTTCAGCAGCCAATTATCTTCATGAAATTTCTTCCTCCTGTGAAGCAAAAATGGTAACTTTGGTTACTGTCTTCTGCAATATCACAGATTTTCACAGGAAAGAGCCACACCTTACAAATAACAGCTGGAAAGCTATCCTGGCTAAGCACAATAGTGTTAGTGTGAATCCCTCCTGGAAGATGCTAAATCCATGAGGCCCTTTTTTATCATGGAACCATTATAGAGACAAGGTTTTAAACCACTGCATATACCAAATAGTTCTGATTGTCACAGGAACTTTTTTACAGACTCTTTGACCACACATTCAGTTTGTCTAAGATAGTTTCCAGCAATTAATTTAATTTGCAAAGTTAAATATCATCAGTGTAAAGTAATATCCTGGGCAAAATCCAGCCTGCTCAAAAAAAAAAAGAAAGGAAAAAAAAAAAAGGTGGCAAATAGAGTGCCATGACCATCTTCTGTAGCTTTAAGGTGAATTTCTGCCTTTCTGTATTCTCCTGAGTATTTATTTGGTGATAACAACTCTGTAAAGTATTTGTAATCTCTTTGCTTTGGGCATTGCTGATGTTATGCACATAGACAACCATCTGTACTTCTATTTCCCAGAAGGCTGAAAAAATGATAGTTTCAGTTGTGAGCTGTGTTACTGGTGAACAGAAGACTTCTCCAGCATTTCCATTTATGACTTCTAGGATTAATTCAAGCTTCCAGTACACCTTGAGACTATGTCCATCCCCAGAAATTACTTCAGATATTCAAAATATAGTTTCACAAAACAGTTGCTTATCTATCTTTTTTTCAAGGACTAGGAAGCAATCAGAATGGTTAAGTGATATGCAAAAGGCACTCTAACCCTCACATTGTAGGACTTCAAAGTTATCTTTGAAAGAGGATGCTTGGCAATGAGGAAAATGTATATGCATCTAAAAAAAACTTGTTAACAGTAAATTGAAAGATTTCAGTAAAACATCCTTTTACAGTAGCTTTCCTATGGCTGTACAAAAATGCAGACACCCATGCACATACAGAGGAAGGAGAAATAACAGTGCAATTTGGGGAGTTCAATTACTCATTCCTGTACATTGAATTCACTATTTTATCATAAAGTAATACAGTTTTTCAGAATTTCATTCCTCACCGGTGTTTCAACGTCTTCAAATGAGATTAATCTGTAGGAATGTATTTCTAGTTTCTCAGCATGTTTCAGGTAGACTTTTGGAGTGAAGTAAAAAGGTGAAAATACATTTTCTGTTGTACGCATATAAGTGCAAAATCAGCTTTTCTCTCAAGCACTACAAATAATCATGAACAGCTCAAAATCTCGTCAATGGGCATGGGTTGTCCATTTCAAGAAAAGCTGAAATGAAGGAGGAAAAAATGACTGGGGGGAAAATGGTTTATGTTATTTTGGTTTATATTTTATTGCTAGAAACTGCTGTCTCTTTACATTTTCTTCTCCTGAAAAAGAGGTTGCGCTCAGTGACTAAATCTGTCCTCTCAAGGGAGCATGCATTACTACTGCAGCAGCAGAGGTGGAGGCAGCCCAAGCACAGAGTTAGTCTCAGAGACTAATCAGACCTTTTCTTAATATCAAGAACTCAATTCCAACTTGTTGTTTTATTGCTGCCTTATAACAAGGAAAAGGAAAAATAAATGAAGTTACAAGAACTGAATGATACATTAAGCATATAAAGTCAAGACAGAGAGAATTAATTACTTATTTAAAGATTTGCTCAGGTCTAAGCAGCAGCATTTATGCTAACTTCTTATGCTGTTTTAACCTTCTTTGCTCTGATTCCAGGCCCATAGCTTTGGAGTTTCCATAGTATTTTTCTTTTCATTAGGATGTGGTGATAACAGCCATTCTTTCCTAGCACAGAAACTTCCCCTGGTCTTAGTTCTTTAGTTTTTCTCACCTTTCCTGCCACTGTAGAAGCTTGGCAGGGCAGTGGGTAGGTGATTTATAGACAGCTTTGGATTCTTGTATATTTCCTTTATTAAATGGAGCAAGATATTTAATTAGTTCATCATAACTGGCTTTGGATGCAGCCTTCATCATTAAAGTTTGTCAGCTGTCCACATCTGGAGGAATACTCTAATGGTATTGCTTCCCATGTCTGCCAGCCCATGTCCTATTATTCAGGGGCCTTATGTGTCTGTGCTACTTCCTCCCCTCTGCTTCTGTGAAGCTAGAATGTGAACACATTCAGGTTGTCACTTGAATTTCCCCTCAAAGGGGTATTTCCCAGTTGAGAAGGGGCCAAGAAGCACAATACAGCCAGAAATATTTTATCTCCATGGAGCTGAAGTGCACAGAAGAAGAAGGAACTCTGAAAATTGCAGAGTCTGAGGCAGTGCCCCAAAACAGAAAAGAAAATGTTAAGGTGCATTGCAGACACAGACTCTCCTGGAAAGAGGCATGAAGCCAAATATAAGGGATTGGTAAGTGAATACAACCTACCTCCCAGTCCATAAGCATTTCATTTAACTACAAAACCTTTGGCACCCAAGCAGAGTATGAGTTGATACAAATAAAAGCCAAGCCTTTGTCCAGCAATGATCAGATATTTTCATTAGCGTAGAATCATCTGTGCTCAGTGACACATAGTACACATGCATGAACGTAGCCCTAGATCTGGAAATCTAGTCAAGTCTCAGGCTTCTGGTTCAGGCATTTATGTGAGTGATTTTGACTGAGAAGTCTTACAGTCTTTTTGTTTTGGTTTGGTTTGGTTTATTTGTTTTGTTTTGATTTGTTTTGTTTTGTTTCTCTGTTGGGTTTTTTGGTGGTGCTGGAGGGATTAGAAATATCTTCCAATTCACTGTTCTTGTTGTGGTTTAGTAGTCAAACTTCCATTATTAGGTAGAACATTTAATTGGAAGAGTGGTTGAAGCAACAAGACAATATCCGGATTTAAAAAATCCCTCAAGGACAGTGGGTAGAATGGGTGGTCAGGCCTAACAAACACTGACAGCCAGGCCTCCATAAACTGTCTCTTTTACCATCTATATTCATCAGTCTCATAAAATGAGTCTACATAGCTGTGATGATAGCTGGGCAGCCCATTTCACAAGTATAGAAGTCACAGCTATTTAACAAGTGGCATTTTCTAAGAGTCAGAATGGAGCTTGCATGGGTAAAGTGCAATCTATGTCACACATTCCTGCTAATGACCTAACGGCCTATGCTCTCACAGCAGAAGAAGGGAAAATTAATCTTCACCACAATTGTTCCATTTCTCAAACTTCTTTTTAGCAAAGATATAAATTGTGCCAAATATCTATCAGTTTTATGATGACAAGACCATCAAACTTGTTTCATTAAACACCCTCCCCCCGCTTACAACTGTCTAAACAAGATTTTTCCATTTAGTACCCTATCAATCCAGAGTTATGATTATTCAGTAACTGAGGGGATCTCTTGTATTTAAATATTAATGTTTGTGTAGTTATTAAAGTATTTGATGATTTGTCCAGGGGCACTGTAAAATTAAATATAGCATGTCATTTATGGTAATACAGAGGAGAATAATAAAAAATCGTTTTCATTCTGGTTTTGTGTCTGGCTGTGCATGTTACTTTTACTGCTTATTTGATAGTTGGGGGTATTGTGTGTTGTTAAACCCTTTTAAATGTAGGACTTCAAAGCATATTGTTAGGAACATATAAAAGATTATCTCCCAAGTTATGACTTTGTGTTGCTGTGTATGAACTGTTGTCTGACAGTTATACTGCTAAAGGGGAAGGGAGTTTTCCAATAAACACTTATCATGTGTAGCAGTACAGTAAGCCCATAAATATTTTGGGAAGCTCACTTTTGTCCATGTGGTATTTGCTTTCAGAAATCACCTCAGCCTACTGGAGCAGAGATGTGTATATGTAATTAGACTTCTCAAGTTATGTATATTTAAAGAACATTATTTAGGCACTCCACTCTGACATCCTCATGCTATAAAGAACAAAAGAGAGAGAAAGCAGGAAGGAGAGAGGCAGAGCATCTTATTTGAGGCAAACACTTGACTGGCATTTTTATGTGTAGGTGTGTAGCTTCTTCAGGGATAGGTTTTTTGAGGTGGGATAATGGGAAAAAAAAAGTACCTATGCTTGACCCATTCTACTAGGAAACCATTCTGTCCATTTAAAAACAATAGTAGATAAAAATGACTTTTATAAGGTCACTCAGAGCCAGAGCCAGGAATAGAAAGCAGGTCATATGAATCTAAGTCAGAGCACTTGCTATGAGACCAGACTGGTATTTCCTGCTGAAAAAAAATTAAATGAGTTAAAATCTTGAATGACTGCTTTAACTGCACAAGAGAGGGGCTATGATTGAGGCCTGCTTCAGCTTTTTCATATAGGTCATTGTAAAATGATTCTGTAGCTAATGATGGACAGTTGCTACAGGATGTATCTTCTTGGTACAAAGGTGTAGCAATCTATCATATTTTTTAAAATATGTCTGGCAAACTGAATGAATACAGAAAACAGAAACTGAAACAACAGAATCAGTTGGTATATTTAAGTTTTATTTATTATGTTCATTCTAAGCCTGTTTTTACAGCTGATCATAACCTTCTGAGAGTGTGTATGTATGTATGTATATATGTATATATATATATATATATGTATGTATGTGTGCAATGTAGCTAAATTCTGTAAAACAGCTTTGTTTATAAATTACAACCATGTCAAAGTCAGGAACTTCACTTAGTGTTCTCAATGAACCAATAATTCACCTGTCTTAATACTCAATATAGAGAAGTGCTCTCTGCTTCATGTTGACTGCGATGACAAGATACGGTGTGCGTTTTTTTTTTCACTGGCTTAGCTTGAAATGCTTCATGGGAGGTTTGGGATCCTCATTATGTAACAGCAATTTAGAAATTTTTAATTAAGGACGTATATGCATGTGAGGCATCCGGATTATGGTTCCAATCCAAAGCCCATTGCAGGCAATGCAAAGACTCACATCAAGCACATTAATTGCTCGATCAAAACCCAAGGGCTTATACTGGAAATAATACACAAATTAGGGTTAGTTCCTTTTTCAAAGGATAGATTAATCTGCACAGACTTCAATGCTACCACAACAAGGCTGTTTCCTGTTTAAAATGGGTTTGTATATGTTTACATTACACCTTGGTATGCCGTGAGGATATGTGCAACTACCATGCCAGGCTGTCTGAACAGGCTGGAATGGCAGTATGGGAAAGGATCTGTAGCCTCAGGAATGATGTGTGGAGAAGGCTTTGCCATGAGCAGTGAAGAATGGAGACCACATCGATGAGAGATGAATGTGGTATGTAAATCTCCACTCCATCCCTGTGTCTCAACTGAGTCTTGAGGCACGTATCAAAGACAGGGAGTGTTTTAGCTGAACACGAAGCAGGAGTGCAAGACACTCATGCACAGGACTAAAATGGGTGCAAAGAACCATCATCCAAGTCATGGAGGCCACACAAAGTAAGGGTCAGATGATTTCCCACAGCCTCCTGTAGAACAGCCAAAAAACAAAGGGCTTTCATTGAAGTTTGAAAAACAGATGCTCTTAACTGCCTTAGAACTGCAACAGCTTCTACCAAACAGCTCTATCAAAACACACCCATCATCTTCTGTCTTGGCACTTCACTCCTGTCACCTCACTTCATTGTCGCTGCATGCCTATACCTCACATTTCACTTCAGACTCAAATTCACTTCAGTATTTATCTTGAGGGCTTACCCCTTCTCATCCTTCATGATTGCATATAATGAATCAGAATCCTTAGCTCTCATCTCGTTTTTACAAAAGGTGAAATGCTTTTCATCCCATTTTCTTATAAAGGCATTTTCCCCGTTTCTTTATATCTGCATGTGAAGGAGACATTACAGAAGTCTGCCTAGTCATTTTGTCATCTTCCTTCATATAATTCTCTTACTATCACTGTTGTGATGACTAAAAAATTATCTGAGAATGATTAAACAGCTGGTGTGCTGTGACCACCACTTCTTATAGTAATTGTAATCCTCCCACTGTAACCTCGAGTTGTCTCTGTCTCTTTGTTATATTAATCTGTTGTCTCTAATATATTCTTGGACTGCAAAATATATCCAAGATGGGAACCAGCCTTTTTCACTCACCCATAAAAATCAGCATAGTGCCTTGCACCCCAGTACCTCCAGAAACATCACTGCTGATTTCCCTGACAGTTACCTCAAGCACAAATAATTTATAATATTTTTTTTTAAGAAAATTAATTGGAAGGGAATTATAGACACATGAGTAATATATCTACTCCACTCCACATGCTTTCATGGAAGAAATTGCTTATTTTAGATACATTTATGTCACTGTGTGATACTCCAGAAATATAGGGACACACATCATATATGAGACTTCAGTGTATTGTTAAAATGTTACTGGAAATTGGTGCATCACACACCAATATGTACTTCTAATACTTGGACAATAATTCTGCACCTCACAAGGATGTTGCAAGGATTAGTTAATATGCTAGCATTTATAAAGTGCTTTGAACATTAAAACATTATAAAGTGAACATTATACAGTGCTTTGAACATATCTAAATGTGTATTATTATTATGATTATTAATAATAAAAATAATAAACTATATTTATTCAAAACTGTCAGAATCACTAAATATGCAAAATCTCTGTTGAGTGTGTGTGCATATTATTATTTTGTAATGTAGCAATGAAGTTCTATGCATGCCAAGGAAGACTGTGTCCTGTTTGATAGGCAAAAATATTTCCCCTGCAGTATGTGCCCACCTCCTGCTAGTTACATATATCAGAAATGATTGGTAAGTGCCATTCAAACTTTACATCTTTTTCCTTGTCGCCTCTAGAAATGTCACCATAACCAAAGGTTAGCAAAGTACTGTTTCCTTTGTTGTAATTAGAGCTGTACTAATCTCAAGTTGTAACTCAACAGGTACAGAAGAGATCTGTTCTTTCAAGAACTGTTAGGAATGGACAAGCAAAGACTCGTCAATCCACACCCCAATCCTGAGCAGCCTGGGTCTAAAAGGTAACTTTCTCCATAGTAATTTCATGTTTAACCATGGGGTTCTATCATGGGTAGGTGATACAAAGTTAAACATCACAAGAAAACCAAAGCACAACAATTTATAGCAAAGCATGCCCTATCTCCAAAGGCAGTGGTCCCCTTTTTAGCCCTTTCCCACTTCTGCCTCCTGCACCCTCTGCTACCATGGCCCTGCAGCTCGACTCCCAGGAGCCTAATAGCAGGGCTGAAATGGATGTGTCCCCAAAGGGTAGTGACCCAAATAAGCTTCCCCTCTGACTCTCCATTTGGAAGTTCAGCAAGGTCTGTGTGAAGGATATGCTTTTCCTCATTAGCTGCATTCAAGCTCTAAACCGAGTACACAGTTAGGTGTCCTTGGTACTTCTGAAAAACTGCATTGCATTAGGTCACGGAATACTACTATGTAGCTGGGTAGCGGTTGGCATAATCAAACCTAAGCTGTCTAGACTCAAGCTCAGTGATCAAAGAAGCTAATGGAAATAAAATATATTGATTAAAATTACATGTTTTGCCCTGGCACCATATTATTGTGACAGGAGCACTGTAGTAATCTCCATTCACAGTGGGGACACACACAGCCATGGAGGAGGTTACAACAGACATATTGGGTAGGAAGAAATGAGTTGATCAAACCAAATGTTGGAGCGAGGACAGATCAAATGATGCCACATGGAAAATTATGGTTTGGAATGAAGAAGTGGTCCATTTAACAGTACATAAAGTCTCTGTAATATGCATAAAATCAGCAGCTAGCAGATGTTTTCTGACACAGTGCATCTGTATGAGGCTGAGACATATTCACTTCCACTGTAGCGGCAATACACAGAGCAGATATAAAGGCAGACCCTCCAGACAGATGAAGGCAGCCCTGCCCTTACTTTATAATAACAGTAAATAATAACTTGCATTAATTAGCAATCAGAAATTTAATCATGGATTCGGATGCAATTGTGGGAGGTATCATACAGAGGTTGAAAGGAAAACCTATCATCCACTGGTAACAGATAAGACAAGGAAAAAATTTCATTCCAACCCTGCATTTGATAAGATCTTGCTGAAAATATCACCTTTGGGTTATAACTCTCATTCATACTTTGTGGCCAAAGGCAACTTCTTTTAAATCTCAGGAAAAATTCTTCAGTGAACTCAAATCTGCAGAAATGCAAATGAAAATAATTTTTCTTCAGTTAAAAATAATATTGTGCATTTTATTTCACAGAAGCGTCTTGAGTTTTGAGAAAGTAGCTGATCTAAGCAGGATGGTTTATTTAAAGAACTGATACAGCAAGGGCATTTCCTTTCCTGAAGTTGCTTGTTAGCTGGGAGACAGTAGAGGAAAATATAGTATGTTTCTGTCTCAGGCTTCTCTGATATCCTAAATAGCCATTCATGCCTGTCCATGGCAAAATATAGGCTACTCACAAGAGGCAGTGCAAATATTCACAATCTGTGCTTTGTTCTTCAGTGGTTTTACCACAAGAAATAATACTTAATGACTGAGAGACTTAAAATATCAGAATGAACGCTTAATTGGTCATGACTACCGTAACTGATAAAAATAAGGAAGTTCCCAATACTAGAATTTAAGTCATCTGAACACTCAGGGCCAGCATGATGGAGGTTATCTTAGAGTGCACCGGCACTTGTGACAAATTAATTTATGAAGACTGAAGCCAATTGAACAGAACTGCACTTCACCAAACACAGTTGAGAAGCACCCAGTCTTGAGCACAATGACATCATGTCTTGGACACAGTACAGCCATGTGTTTGAAGCTTCCAAGGGCCATATTCATCAGGCAAAGAGACTTTAAAAGCTTCAGTCATGCAAACTACAGTTCTTATACTATAGACTAGAGATCGTGTATCATCTTAAGCCACTGTGCTTAATGATTTTTAAGATTCTCAGCTGTTTTCAGAGCCTTTTATGGGACAGTTCAGAGAGACTTAGAAATCTCTTCAGCCCACGCTAACATAACTTCTCAAAGCATCTCTCTTAAGCAACTGTCTGCAACAAGAATGAGAGATGTCAGCGCAGGAAGCAAAAAGCTGAATATGGAACTGTCTCCCTTTTGAAAACACTGGAACAGTGATAGATCTTCCTGACACGAGATTACTTTTTGTCCAAGAGACACAACAGCAATACAATCCAATAAATAAATAAATGCAATGCTAACTGCAAGATATAAATGTCAAGATAAAAAATATGTACCTCTGGGCGTAATTGTTAAAGTATATTATTTTGGAGTGTATTACCATGGAGGTAAATTGGATATAGCTGCCTTAACAGATACCAGGGATTAAGTTTTACCCAAAAGTTCCAGAGCCACAAAGGGAGAGAAGCTTTAAAATGGGACACGCTTACCCCAAAAAGGCTGTCAGATCTAGCAGTGAAAAATGAGCATATGTAGAAAGCTCAATTAAACTGAGCTTCCTACTAACTTTTTCTGTTTTGGACAACAATCTCTCACTTCTCCAGCAGTGTCTGTAGTATTGCCATTATGGCACTGGCTGCCAATTGCCAAAGGCTTTGTTAATAGAAAATGGAATTATTTTTACTCAGGACTCTTTATTCTTATTGAGTGTGATTTACTGTAGTGTTATTGAGAAGGTCTCATTGTCACCTGATCATATCTTGTCACAACCAATGAGATTACTGTCAGGGAGAAAGCTGCTCATTCCAAGAAACATTTGGTAATAAATTGATTACTGGCTGAAGCTGATACTTTACAAAAAGAGCAATCAATTACATATCTGCCATTGCTCAGAGTCTTACATTAGAAAGGCACATAAAATAATCACTAACTAATCACACATGGCGGCTTGGGCTGGACTGTGTGAAATCAACTTAGACACACACAGGATTATAAAGTGTTTTTCACAGACTTTGAAAGCCGCAGTGTAAAAAGCAATGATTGTAGATGACCATGCATAATAACTGGGTTGTGAAGAAGCGTCTTGCTCAACCTCATTCTAAGCACGGCATACTCAATACTGTTTACACTCACAGAGTAATAGTTATTTTTAACAATCACTAATGAGCTGAAATATCCCAGCCCCCACTTCACACTTAGTATTCATTTTCAAATCTACTATTCCACTGCCTTCATAAATTCAGGAGGCCCTCGGGAGATCTCTTCCTTGCCTTGTGACTGTGCCTGTGGGACATGCTGCTGTTCCTCCCTTGACACTAATTCCAATGACATCAGGGGACAGACACACAGAAATGCACCAGGATACAAGCTCCAAACCAAGAGAAATAAAGACTGTATGAATGATCTCTTTTCTTACCCCTGCCTCCCTGTTTAAGCCATGGAGAGCTTTACTTCATCAGTGCCTTTACTCCTGAATGTCAAAACAGGCTGTGGGACTGTCTGCCACCCCCCAAAGCAGGAGACTACAAGAAAGGTTCCCCGGTGAACATCCCAGGCATGGATCCAACTGCTGAATTAGAACAGAAGAGGAAAGACTTGTCTCTACCTGCTGTTATAAGGATTCACTTGTTCACATTTTTCTCCCCTTCCAAAAAGAAAGACTGCAGAAAAATTCCTCCCCCCTTCTTTCTGGTCTCCCACTTATTCAGAAACTAGGTTGAGAATTTGGGTTTGGCTGGTGCAAGACCAGGCTTTCCAGTCCTTTTTTGCTCCACTAGCACCAATTACCCAGGAGCAACAAAAATCTCAGTCATCATCTGCTACCAGAAGAGGTAATTGCAGAATGATCCTCTTGTATATATATATTCACTATTGCTATCATGGCCACAAAAGAAGTTCTATCCTGAATTCTTACTTCTACTTTATTACAGATAATTTTCTTACTTTTTTGTTTCCCATGTTGAAAAAATTAAGGCTCTTTACTTTTTTTAATGAAGTGTCATTGCCCAACACTTGTGAGAAATGATGACCATAAAGCCCCTCCTCCACAGAAATGGCAAAATCCATGCTGACTCTGGTCCATCACTGTCCAATGTTTAATTCCCCAATTTTAATACAATGGTGTAATTACTTATTTTTTTTTTTCTTTTTAACTATTTGTGAAGCTAACAGCATTTCAGTTGAGCTCAGAGGGCTCACCAGTGAAATGAGTAATGCAGAGTGCTTTGGAAGTGACACGCAGTAGAGCTGGGGGGGAAGGGGGAGCACCTGCAGACTGTAACGGTAAGGGCTGCAGGAGAGGCAGGAAACAGAGAGGAAAGCTGAGAAGGTAGTTGCAGATTTAGGAGGAGAGGATGGATTTGAACTACGATAGAGCTGCAATGAGCGCTCAAATACTAGGATGGGTCCTAGAAAAGGGTTTGAAGATAGAGAGTACATTCAGTTTGTATACACAGCTGTTCCTAACATGCCTCTGGAAGGAGGCAAGAGCAGGGTCAAGAGGTTGATGCGGTTTTTCATAGAGTATAACCATTTATTTTAGGCCCAGTTTCCAGAAGTGATTTAACACTCTATTTAAGTGCTAGTTTTTAAACAGTAAATGGAAACACACCATCCTCCAGGAAAAAAAAAAAAAAAAAAAAAAATCAACAAGCAAGGAACTCTAGCACATCCTCTGATTAGCAAGAAAAAGCATGAAGACAGGGACAATGAGTCCAGTTAAAAATTACCTTAAACACAGTAATGACAGAGACATACACATCTACAGTGAAGAAAAATGGAGAGATGAAGAACAAGGGCTAGCCCAAGAGGTATTCTTGGAGAAATCTAGAATAATCTTTAAATGAGCATTGTATTACTGATTGTTGTTCTGAAAGCATAGCTGCAACTGTAATAGTCAATGTAGTAGTAGCAGTAGTATAGTTCCTCTCTTCCAAGTTTTTTTCTTCCAAATGTACAATATTATGCATTATCCTGACACACTAGTAGAAACAGGCCATAAAGAAGCCAAGTGATTAGCCTGGTATCATGTGCACCACTGATGGACCCAGACTTTGACCCTTGTACACAGGATTCCCAATGTCCTCTGTCTGTTTAGCTGTGCTGCCACAACATGGCAAGACACTGTCCCACAGCCCATTCAAAATATACCACTAAAAGCTGTACATGCAAAATTCTGTGAGTTTTAGTTTATTCCATCTAGAAGAGACACCCAGCAAGACTTAACTTCTGCCAGTTAAGGACTTCTTAAAAACATCTGCCCTGGATCCAGGGAGTGCTGAAGCAGTACGTGGTTATTTTTCTCAGAAGAGCTGAAAGTGCTGCACAACACTCAGTGGCTCCAGCACAGTGATACAAAAACCATGTGGCACTTCTAGCTACTTGATGACAGATATTCTCTTGTGTTTGGCCATACACTTACAATACATTTATTCTTAGGATTATGTCATTGAGCATGAGCTGCTTTCAGGCATTAGATCATACACCTGGCCCTTCCTAAAATGATGTTTTAACCATTTGCTGAAAGCACCAGTTGAAAGGATGATTTGACTAAGTGACTAATTTGACTGAATGCCTGTAACACTTACAAACTATTTTTAAGCCATTTAATAAAGAGCTTCGTCTGATAGATTTGGGCAAAAGCTGCATAAATTGTGGGTCAGCACAAAGCAGCAATTCACAGATGGGCCTCTCTAAAAAAAAATCACACTATTTTTGGAAGCATTTGCTCCTGTACCAATTCAGACTAGTACTATATCTTTTCTTTGCTCTCATGGATAAAATAGGCAACACCTTCAAAAGTAAATACATAAAAAATTTAGGTAAGAATGGAAGGTTTTCAAGGCATAAAGGCACAAATACAGGAGTTAGATGCCTAAGAGATGACTGACAGGACTTCATCCATGTCCCTAAGTATCTGAAGGAAGGGTGTCAAGAGAATGAACCCAGGCTTTTCTTGGTGGTGCCAAGCAACAAAACAAGAGGCAACAGACAGAAACTGGTGCACAGGAAGTTCCACGTGAATGTGAGGAAGAACTTCTTTACTGTGCAGGTGAGCATGCACTGAAACAGGTTGCCCGGAGAAGTTGTGGAGTCTCCCTCACTGGAGATATCCAGTAACCATCTGGACACAATCCTGTGCCATGTGCTCTAGTATAACCCAACTTAAGCAAGAAGGTGGGACCAGGTGGCCTACTGCGGTCCCTTCTAACCTGACCCATTCTCTGATTCTGTGAAGTGCCCTTTATCATGAATTCAACACTTGCATTCTCTGCTTTTTAACCGCTATGCAAATCATAGAATGGTTTGGGTTGGAAGGGGCCTTAAAGACTATTTAGTTCCCTAAAATAGACCCCTGCCATGGACAGATACTTTTCACTAGACCAGGTTGCTCAGTGCCATAGAGCCTGGCTTGGAACACTTCCAAGAATGAGTGTCTGGATTTGAAAAGACTGGTGTCTGCTAAGGAAGGCAGGAACTCTCCGTAAAATGGAACCCCCCTATGGATGCTAAAGACAAGCAAAAGCAGGGAGCACAGTGCCTGGGGAAAAGCAGGCTGCATAACTTTCTCAGTCTTGCCTGAGAAAGTTGCCTAGGAAATCATAAGGAGGAATTAAAACAATCCTCAGAGATAGAAGACAGCCTTGCAGGTGCTGTTCGTCAGTTTCTTGTTTTCTTGCAAGAGAAGGTTGAGGAGCGGTGTACCCCACTGACCAATGATGGTAATGTGTTAGTTCATCAACCAATAAGAGTTTTACCTTTCTGTACTTTCGTGTGTCGGTCTATAAAAGAAGATCTGAAGTAATAAACCTTAGGCTCTCTCCTGTTCAACACACAGGAGAGTCTGTGTCGTTCTTCTCGCCATTCCAAATAGAGTGACAACCCCTCTGCAAATTATTATAATCTTGAAATCAAGAGGCTCTCAGGCAAAGATATGGGAATAGGAATAACAGTTCTTTGCTAGGAAAATTAAAATAAAAATGCAGTAGTAAAAAAAAAACAAACACTGACAGAGTCAGAATACAACCTGACACCCTGTTGGTCAGGGTGTTGGTAGCAGTTTGATTAAATGATAGCTGCAGTCCTCCTGGAATGACAGATGTGGTTCTGTTGAAGCAGTGATCCTGTAGAAGGGTGTAGTTTCCCTCTGAAAGTCCAGTGGTGGTGTAGATGGGTCTGGTCTTTCCTCTGGGAATCCAGTGGAGAAATGTTGTGGCGGGCAGTGGTGATCAGGGTGCCATGACCTTCCCAGGAAGCATCCCCTTGGGGACATCTTTCAGGCGCACAGGCACACCTGCCTTGCCCCAGTGATTTAGCAATAGCCCTCAGAAGGGCTGTTGAAGTTGTCGGTGCTCCTCAGGCGACTTGGAATGAAGAGACGGGTCCTCATATGGAGTTCCACAGGGAGCCTTTATTATGCTTCTTCTCCAGAGGGATCATGGGATGAACAATGCGGAGTGAGAGGAAGCAGGGATTTATATAGGAAACACAAGGGGCAGGGTACAGCAACAGGGCAAATGATCTGAGGGGGAAGGGGAAGGGGGAATGAGATACAAATAACATAAATATGAGGGAAAGGCATGCTGGGGGCAAGATAGCAAGTAACCATAACAAGGATCCTCAACTGAGGCCTGCCCTTGAAAGGGAACAAAGTAGACAAAAGGCTATAGGTTCTTCCTCCTCCAGAGGAGAGTGACCACACTGTCTATCACCTCAGCGGCCTCCAGAGAAAGGCTGACTGCAGTGCTCCAAATCTCAGATTATAGCCAGGTAGGAATGCTGGGCTCTTCCTAGGGGTGGAGCATCTCACAAAGGGATGATGTAATTTTATCAGTCATGCAGTAAGACTCAATGGCCCATTTACAGAAGATATCACCCTGGAGGGAGCATGGGTTGTGAAGAGATAACACTGCCACACTTGTTTTTAACAGCTGGCCCATTAATAGAAGATATCCCCCTGGAGTTAGGAGGGATGGGTCATGGAAGAGATAAAGAACTGCCCCACCAGGTTTTAATAGATGGTAATAGAATACATACATTTGGTTATTTCTTGCATTGCAACCCAACAATGAGGCATCCACATCTCCAGGCAACCTTCTGAATACCTTAGCACCTTCACCATAAAGAATTTTTTTCTTAATATCTTATCTAACTCTATTTTCTTTCAGTTTGAGTCCATTTCCCATTGCCCTATCACTACATGCCCTTGTAAAAAGTCCCTCTCCAGCTCTTTCGTAGCTCCCCCTTTAAGTACTGGAAACTTGCTCTAAGGTCTCTTCACAGCCTTCTCTTCTCCAGGCTCAAAGACCCCAATAGTCCCACACTTGTCTTTATAGAAGTGTTCCAGCCCCCTCATCATCATTTGTGGCCCTCCTTTGGACTCACTCCAGCAGGTCAAGGTCATTCCTGTGCTGAGGACCCTGGACCTGTATACAACACTTGGAGTGGCATCTCGCCAGAATAGAGGAGAGGGGCAGAATCACTTTCCTTGACCTGCTGGCCACGCTTCTTTGGTACAGTGGGTTTTTGGGGCTGCAAGAGCACGTATGCATAACATACTTAACATACATAATTACCTACACAAACATCTGGATTAAAAAAGTTTTGAGTGGATCTAAGTAACAGCAGTTTCCACGTACTAACTCATTAATGCTTTTCTTCCCCCAAAATAAATTTCACCCCACTTTTGATTTGGGGCAGGCATATTCTGCTCTGCAAGGGGATACAAAATGCTACTAGTTCAGCATCTGCACTGATTTACATAGATGTAACTACATAGATGTAACTATCCAATAGCCATTTTCTGTTGACTCTCTTTGGTTTACATAACTGCAGGAAATACAGCGTAATAAAGAATCAAGCACGTGGTTTAAAAACAGGCACTCCATTTCTGGCAGCGGGTAAGATAGGAAAAAAAGCCTTTAATTTGAGCCTTTGAGTGTATCCATGCAACATAAAGTACAAGCGTGAGAGGAACATGCTGATAGTTCTGCACTATTGCTAACGGTGCTGAGACGCAACAAGAAGGAAAATCTAAGTGTGCCTGCTCGTTTTCTCAGAGAACCTCCACATAAGAGCCAAATGAGGGTGCCGTTCTTGGCAACTTGGTCCAGTGTGGCCTTTCTGTGGCCTGCTTCATAGCAAGTGAGAAACTTTACTGCTTATATTGTGTATTATTTATACCATGGTTGGGCACACAAGGATTCAGAATGGCTCTACATGCTTGTATGTGTAATGTAGAAATGTAGAAATTAATTGTATCATAGAAATATCAGAGAAAAAAATTTTAGAAGTGTCTATATTTAAGGGCTAGATATAGGGAACAGGTTACCAGTGGATTTAGACAGTACAGATTATGAAGTGATTGCAGAAAATAAATGTCCCTGCCCAAACTGTGAAGAACAAAATAAACATATTTATTTAGCTGAAAGTGATATTTATTCTTTCCAAGGAGTCCTATGTATTCAAAAGGTAGGGATGTATTTTATACACCACAAAGGCAGCTGCGGGGCAACTGTAGCTCTATGGTTTTGTTCGGTTGAATGCAAGCTACGGGGAGCCTTTATTTTTCTATTATTTATCATTTTCAGAAACAATCTAGACTGAAAACAGTAGATTTTGTTCTTTGTGCAAGGGAAACATGGTAAAATCCAGCACAAAGCAGACAGCTTAAAGACCAGTGTTAGTTTCTGAAGTGACTGCTCTTCCCAAGCAAGCGACAGGAGAGAAAAAATTGGGTCTTGACAATACAGTAAGTAGATTTCTAAAAGGTTTTTCCTTCCAGCTCAAATATATTATGGGACTCGACAAACATTAGGCTCCACTTGTAAGAAGAATAGAAAAGGATAATGGATAGAACAGTAAGAAAGATCACTTTGAAACAGAGTCAGAAGACTCAAAACAAGGAGAAGCATCCCAGGTTAACCTATCTACTATTTTCAAGATTCCACAAGCTTATGGGTTAGGCAGTTTGCCAGTACCAACCATAAGAAGCAGTATTATTTTACCAGCTTAACTGATCACTCAAACTGTTAATCACTACAAACAGCCCTCAAAAATATGGAGGATGTAGAGAAACAGAAAAGGACAGAGATTGTCTGAATATACAAATGACTGCTGATTGTTTACCTGGCACCCTAGGTCCTTGTTGTATCAGCTGCCTCACAGAGTAAGTGGGCTTGGATTCTTGATGCAGTTGTACAAATCAGATTTTGTTTTGGTATTGTTTCCAGCTGAAAGCCTTTTCTTTATTCTAATGGTAGGAGACTTTCTTCCTATTAAATGCTTCAATGGTGGATTTAAATATTTAGAGGATCCACATTACAGGAGAACTGTCTGAGAGCATCACAAAGAAACCATTAGTTAAATCCATTAAGGATCTCCTTAAGTGGAATTCCCTGCTGTTATCTACATGATAGCCACATAAAAATGACACTGGAGGAAGAAAATGTTGGGGAAAATATTCCTCCTCACATACTGTATCTGTAAAAAATCCAGTTTTACTGAGGGATCCCTTTTTAATTGTTTCAAAAAAATTTATCTGAGAATTGTTATACTTTGAGCTGAATTAGAGTAGGGGAAACAACATGTCTCAATTTTAGCTGAGCTTTTTCCCCTCTCAAGTAAACCTTTCATTAGACAAGAAGGTACAGGATCTCTTTTTGTTTTGGACATGGCATAAACCATCCAAGTTGTCTTCACATTGCAAGACACGTGAAGTATACACAAGTTTCTGTGCTGTCTATTTTAAAATACGCATAAGTGGTAGCAGTACAGCTAAGGTGTTCTTTCCTCCAACTCCTAGAGTAAGGCACTTGAGCCATCTGAATTTTAAAACTTACACCATCTTTCCTGTTGCTCTTGCTTTTACACAGGAGAAAAATCTTGAACTCCACAAAGTCATTCTTCCATTCTCTACAACCACAGTTTGATATACGTTCAAGAAGGCAGTTATATTCAACAGAATCTATCCATTCTTTTTCATTTATGTAACATTTTTGTACTATTTTTTGAATGCTCAGGAACTTCTGATGTGATGTAAGCTTATGGATAAAATGCAGGTAACAAAAACAGTACAAACACAATGCATAAATATCCATGTTGGTTTTAATATTGATATCCCTAATCTTTCTGTAAATCAGTATATAGTGTCTCAAATCATTGATTTTCTCTCTGGCCTCCACTTTGAGCGTATTTTATAAAACCCAAGAGAGAAAGACCTGTTCTGCGCTCAGGGTAGTATAAACCCATTCTATAAATGTAGGAAATTTCCTTCTAGGACGCTAAACAAAACATCTATTTTCTGTTGGAGAATGAGATACTCAGAAGTCTTGGTTTATCCATAAATGTAGATGTACATACACAGGACAGTGCAAGACCACTAAGCCCACTTTGTCTTCTCAATTAAACTTTATCTGAGAGATCCAATATAGAAGAGAAAAAACCACCTGAGCAAATCTGTTATTTCAGGGGTCAGCACCCTACTGGAGGGAAGGAACAGCATGTGGGCAGTAGTGAACAAAGCAGAAACAGAAGCCTGAGTCCTGGTGGTTTGAGAGAAGTATCCATTACAGGCAATGGCTCCAGGCTTCAGAAGTCTGGACACTGGAGGGACTGTTGCATCCTGTGAGGGAAGATACCATACATCAGTGTCCAGGAGCCTTGCACCACTCAGATTGGGTATGACGCTCGGGTCCACACCCAGAAAAACTACACTAGGACACAGTTCAGGTATGGCGTCCCGTAGTATTGCAAATTAAGTTCTCAAAAGAATGCAGAACACTGGCTTGCTATAACATCGCCTGTCAAGGCTGTGGCAACTACAAGTTCATATGACATTGGCAGCACACAGTACTGCCCATTGGAGCAGCGGGATCACAGCTTCTTCCTTGCCTGCTCCCAAAACCTCCATCACAAAACAGACTTAATGCCCGCCAAATGGAGAATGGAGCAAAGATACACCACAGCACTGAGAACATTTATTACAGATTAGTAAGGGTCTTGCTGTGTATCGCTACAATAAGAATTCAGGGTGTGATAAAACCAGTACTCCTGTTTAATCCCTCTATTGATTTTCCATTGGTATTTGTAACCCTTTAACAATTTAACTGCTGTGCTGTTTGTGCCCCAAATAAAAGTTGTAAGTATTTTCCAGGGTTTTTTCCAATTATGCTCCTTCAAAGTAACCATGATTGATAGTAACTCCTACTACCTCAAGCGTTTTCTCTACAGACAATGGCTATGCCAAGTTCCAACACGGGGAAGTTAAATGGCAGTACCTTTTAGAAAAACACTTCTGAGTAGAACAAGAAAGGGATGCACAGCCATGGAGGGAAATGCTGCCCCAAAAAAACAACCCTGGCGGGCAGTGTCACCGCAGCTCCAGTGGCACCACTGCGCGGATGACCTGGCGCAAGACCCTCAGAAGACAATAAGAAGGCAGGCACCTAAGGTCTCTAAGAAGAGACATTTCTCCCGTCCGGCCCCAGAGGGGCCGGTCCGTGTGCGGAGCCAGCCCTCCCCGCGCTGCCCACAGCCCGCGGTGCGCGACATGGCGGCGCTCCCGGCAGG